TAACAACTTCAATGATTCACTTAACAACTCTGGTAAGAAAGGTCGTAAAATCGGGCAAAATTCATTTAACCACCATCTCACTTAGCAACAGAAATTTTGCGCTACATGGTGGTCATAAGCTGAGGACTACCTGTACACACCTAAACTTCATTTAACGACAGATTCATGGCCATCTTCATCTGTGGAAGATGTTGCTTCATTTTTTAAAAAAATTATTATTATTGCTTTTAAATCCTTGCATTACTTTCCTTAAACTTGGAGATACAAGCCAATTCAGATGTTTTTAATAAAACTAGATTTGTCATGGAGCAATAACTTGGGCTTCCAAGCCTGCTCCCCTCGGCTCTTTACAAAGGTTTTCCATGCTGCGAGGCTCCCAAATCTTCCGAGGTCTGGAAAAAGAGACAAGTGCTGGCTGAGTTAATGAATGTTTACCCAAAATGACAGCCATAAAGTAGAAGCTCTGTGAGGTCTGCCAAGGCCCTGTCAGCTCTCCGCCTCTGTGTGTACAAAACTAATGGGACTAAAACAAGTCCAGAGCTTTCCCTCAATTTGTCTTTGTGGATTTCAGCAACTGAGAAGAATTCTAAGCCTTGGCAGCCTCCATCACTTTTCAGCTTACAATAGCTGACTTGGTAGACTGTTAAGGTTTAATGCATCCAGCAGGAAGGAATTGAGGTCTGGTGGATCTCATCTTGAAGGAACCTTTGTCTTTTCACCAGACAAGTAATTTACTCTCTCTCTCTCTCTCTCTCTCATCTCTTGGTAGCTGCAGTGGATATTCCAAGTTTTGATCTGGAGGAGTTGTAGATAATGCACTTGTGCATGGTCCAAGCAACAGACCGAAAATAGCAAACTAGGGCATCAAATTGCTTAAGATTTTTTTTTTTTTTTTGGTCTAGTCATTACTAGTTACAGGTAGAGTAGTGTGGTGGTCAAGACATTCATGTCTCACCAGGAAGGTTGAGAGTTTAATCCTAGATCGGAACAGATGTTTCTCTCTCGGGACACAAAGAGAAAATAACTGCTGCGAACTTCACATAGGTGTCAGGAAGGGCATCCGGCCAGTAAACGCTCAGCTTCATTTAGTCACCCAGACTTTATCCCGAATAAAGGGATTATAGTCGTAAAAATAAAAATCTAGTTATGGGTAGTCCTTGACTTAGGAATGCTCACTTAGCAGCTTTTGGAATTACAAAGAACACCCCCTCCCCTGAAAGTTACTTACCGATTTTGATGTTACAATGACTGCATGTGCTCACACACACACACACACACACACACACACAAAGTCATGGGGTCACATTTTAGACCTTTGTCAACCAGATCACTTTTATAGCTGTTCGCAGAATCCCGAGGTCACATGACTCTGATTTTCAGTGGGTTTCTTTGCTAGTTTCTGGCATTTCCTTCCATTTCTGGCAAAAAAAAAAAAAACAAACCTCCCGTTGGGTAAACTGGATTTGCCTTAATGAATGGTGGAAAAAAAATGCTGAAAAATTGCCTCCAGTCATAGGATGCCCTGACTTAACAACTACAAACATCTTATGACCATAATACTGAACTCAATTATAGTTGTAAGCTAAGGTACAGATCTTAAAATAGTTATGATTCTTTAAAAAAAAAACCACAGATAACAGATAATTAGAGTTGGAAAGGACCTTGTAGGTCATCTAGTCCAACCCCCCCCCCAAGCGGGAGACCCTACATCATTTCTGACAAATGGCAGTCCGATCTCTTCTTGAAAGCCTCCAGTGATGGCGCTCCCCCAACTTCCGAGGACACCTTCTGTTCCATGGATTGATTGTTCTCACTGTCAGAAAGTTTCTCCTTATTTCCAGGTTGAATCTCTACTTGATCAGTTTCCATCCATTATTCCTTGTCTGGCCTACAGGCACTTTAGAAAATAGCTTGACCCCTTCCTCTCTGTGGCAGCCCCTCAAATATTGGAAGACGGCTATCATGTCTCCCCTGGTCCTTTTCTTTACTAGACTAGCCAAGCCCAGTTCCTGCAACTGTTCGTTGTATGTTTTAGCCTCCAGTTCCCTAATCATCCTGGTTGCTTTTCTCTGCACTTTTTCTAGAGTCTCAACATCTTTTTTATAATGTGGTGACCAAAACTGGACGCAGGAGCTCTAGGTGTGGTCTTGCTAAGGCTTTATAGAGTGGTATTAGTACCTCACTTGATCTGTTATAAAATAAAAAGACTGTCTCGTGGAGAAAGCTGACTCAGTAAACAGTGTGCTCTTAGTGATTAGCTATTGACGATAGCTCCACTTTGTTTCAATGTCTGGAGACTCTGTGGGTTTGAACGGGGAGGAAAAGGCCTAAGTTGAATCCAGATAAGGTTGAGTGGCTGTGGATGTTTGGAGGGCCTAAGTCTCGAGTGATTCCATATTTAGCTGTAAATGGGTTTTTTCCACTTCCTATTTCAGAGCTAGTGCACAATTCGAGGGTCTTTTTGGACTTAATTGTGCTTATTGAAGAAGCAGGTGGCAGCTGTGACCAGAAAGCCTTTGCATAAGTTACCTATTATGACAGTGGTGCTCATATCTCAACAGGGAGGCCCTTAAGGCAGTTACACGTGCTTTGATAATTCACGTCTAGACTATTGCAATGAGCTTTAGAAGGGGCTACCCTTGAAGACTACTCAGGAGCTATAACTGGTCCCAAATGCAGTAACACGGCAGTTACGAGTGTGCCATTAACATCTCTGCTGCTGTGGGGGCTTTTTTTGGTTATCAGTAGACTAGCAGGTACAGTTCAGTGTGCTGGTTACTGTCTATAAAGCCCTTCATGACAAATCAGTCTGTTTATTTGAGGGATTGAGAGGTCCTTGGTGCTCTGTTTTCTTGCAGACTTTTCATTACTCAAACTAAGTAACATCATCCATACTAGTGATCTGTGACTTGCACTGATGACGTTACCTAGTTTGGATAATGATGCGTCTGCAAGAAAACAAGCAAACTCAGAGAGCACCAAGCAGGGGTGGGATTCTACTAGTTCGCACCTATTCACTAGAACCGGTTGTTAACATTCTAAGCAGTTCAGAGAACTGGTTGTTAGAAGAAATTACTGGCCTAATCCTGTAAGGAAGGCAGGACGGAAACATTCTGGCATTGCTTACAGAAACTGCCTTTCCTTTAACCCTTATTACATTTTTAGCAGGACAGGGCTTCCTGTCTCAGGAAGATCTCTGGAGTTATTTTCCCCCCTCGTTTGCTGGTACTTTGCTTGTGTGGAGTGACCATTCAAAGTTACAATGGCACTGAAAAAAGTGACTTTTTTCACACTTACGATTGTTGCAGCATCCCCACAGTCATGAGAGGCCAGGCGAGGAGATGCGTGCCTCGATGTAAGTCATATTGAGTTGGCCACGCCCAGCCAATAACATGATCACCAAGCCATGTTCACCTAGTCAGATGACCACCAAGCCATGCCCACCACCTAAGCCACGCCCACAGAATCGGTTGTTAAAAAATTTGAATCCCACCCCTGGCACCAAGGACCCCTCATTTCAAGCCCGAGTTACAAATATTCTCCTTTGAGGGATCCCTTGTAACTTTTGCCCAAGCCATACATTCTGACACACTTGGCGTGTTCCTGGTTCCATCAATTAGAAAGTGCCATCTGGTGGGACCCAACAATCTGCTCTTCTGTGTCATGATACCTGTCCTCAGGAAACATTCACCCTGAGATTCACTTGGCTCTCACTTTAACTCTGTTTAAATGTGCTCTCAAGAGCTGGTTGTTCCCACAGTCTTCGGGTACCATGAATGATGCACCCCTTTGGTGGCACTTTGATTTTTTTGTTGGCATTGTTTTTCCGGATTCTTTTTTTAAATTCTTGTTTTGTATCGTTTTGATTTTGCAAGCTGACCCAGAGCTATGATTTTGTGAATGAGCAAATAAATAAATAAGTAAACAAATAGGCAAGCACCATAAAATGTCCTGGTATGAGTAAAATTCCCCATGTCTTAAGTGTCCTTCAAGAGGTTCCGCTCAACTACTTCAAAAGCTTTCCTTGGCTGTCACACACAGCTTGTTAATTTCAGTGGTATGTGTTGCAGGAGTGTTGTTTATTTGGAGATAATCTAGGAAAGCTTTTGAAGCTCCATTGGCACCGAAAGGATTGAGTCATCTCAATTTGTCATCTCAGGAGGCTTAAAAAATAATCACAAGAAGAGTGCCTTCACTCTTTTGATGCCATACTCTAAACCCGAGATGCTCTCGCAATTGACATTCATCTTTGAGTCACTTGTGGTGGTAAACAAAGAGTTTCATTGGATTTCTTCACATGAAGCGTTTAATTTTATTACTTAATATATTTGTACTCTTGTTTTCAAAAACCGTTTGTGGCTTTGTTAATTCTCGCTGGTAAACAAGTCGGGGATGGTTGGTGTTGATCCTTTATCTTCTCTCATAAAGAAAGGTCAGGCTGCAAATGGTTAGCTTTTCGTAGTTAGTTTTTCTATCAGGATGTAAAACATTAATAGAAAATCAGTCAGATTCTAAGTGGTTTAGATAGATAGATAGATAGATAGATAGATAGATAGATAGATAGATAG